GGCGGCGGCGGCGCGGGCGCGCCGCCGTCGCCGCCGGCGCTGTTCGCCGGGCTGACGTTCGGCGGCAAGGGGCCGATAAAGCAGCTGGTGACGGCCGAGCAAGACAGCAAGCCGGCGCTTCGAATTGCGGAGGTGTTGAGAGAGGAGAAGCGGTGAGTGGCAATTCCGAACCTGCTGAGGGCCGAGGGCGGCCTTGAGTGTGGAGGGTGCAGGGGTAGGGCCCGAGCGAGGTGGCGCGGCGGCCGGGCTGGGCCGCCGTCAGTATCCGCCGCATGCAGCGGCCACGTGCAGTGCTTCAACGCCCGCATGTGCATGCGTCGGCCGCGCGGCTCTCGGGTGATGCCGCACCCTGCCATGCGGCCTGCCGCGCGCCCCCGCGCAGGAAGCAAGAGGCGGCGCAGCAGGCGGCCATGATGGCGGCGCTCCAGGGAATGGGCGGCATGGGTGGCATGGGCGGCATGGGTGGCATGGGCGGCATGGGCGGCATGGGCGGTATGCCGATGTCTTTGATGATGCCGCAGCTGCAGCAGCCGGCGCCAGATGCCGACGTCGCACCCACCAGCGGCGGCGGCGGCGGCGCGCCAGAGGACGGCGCAGCGGCGGCGGCTGCCGGCCCGCCGGACGGCGGGCATGATGCGGGCCCCGGCGAGCGCGCGGCGGCCGCCGTTGCTGCGGCTGCGGCGGCGGCGGAGGCGGCGGGGGAGCGGGAAAACGGGGAGGAGCAGGCGGCGGCCACGCCGTCGGGCATGGCTGTGGATGAAGAGGAGGGCGCGGAGGGGCAGGTCGCCCCTGAGGAGCAGCAGCAGCAGCAGCAACAGCAGCGGCGGCCAAGGCAGCAGCAGGGCGGGGAGGAGATAGAGTGCGACGAGGGGCTTGACAGCGGCGAGGGCGACGAGCAGCGGCGGGCCGGCGGCGGCGGCGCCGACGCCGAGGCAGACGGCGAGCAGCGCAACGGGGCCGCGGCGGGCGGCGACGGCGAGGGCGCCGACGGCGGCGGCCCGACGCCGCGCGCCCACAAGCGGGAGCGGTCCGGCGGGCCGGGCGACGACCAGGCGCCGCACGCTGGCGCGCTGCTCGCGCCGCACCTGCAGCCCATGACGCCGTCCCTCATGGGCGCGTTCATGAACCCGATGCTCGGCCCGATGGGGCAGATGCAGATGATGGGACCGGGCGGGCTGCAGCTCGGGATGGGACCCATGGGGGGCCCCATGTTCCCCGCTATGCTGGGCCCTATGGGCGGCGGGCTCATGGGCCCGGGCGACATGGCCATGGCGCTCGCGATGGGCGGCGGGCCGCACGGCGGCGAAGAGGATGATGAGGACGATATGGGCGGCGGCGGTGGGGGCCGGGGGGAAATGTACCATGGAGGAGAGGGCGGGTCGCTCAGCCGGCTGGTGGATCTGTCCAGTGCGGACGACGGGTACAAGTGAGGGCATACACACATGCGCGCGCATGCTTGCGCGCGCGGCAGCCTTGGGCGGCGGCGCGGCGGCCCCGCGTCGGCCCGCGGCTGCCGAAGGCGGCGCGGCTGCGGGGCTGGCTGGCTCATGGCCCTGCCAAATGGCGGACAGCCTGAGCACTCGGGGCGCCTGTGGCCCGAGCACTCGCGCCGCTGGCGCCGCCCCTCATGCGCACGCCGACACACACACCCACCCCCACCCCCCCAGGTGGCGCAAGTACGGCCAGAAGACGGTCAAGGGCAACCCCAACCCCCGCAGCTACTACAAGTGCACCCACCCTCACTGCTCGGTGCGCAAGCACGTGGAGGTCTCGTCGGACGACCACTCCAAGGTGCGCGCAGCAAGGATCCAGGGTCCAGGGTTTTGACCGTTGATCATGAAGGGTTTGGGGGTTTCGCCCTGCGGCTTCCCACGCGGCTGCCCGGGGGCCTGACATTAGCTGGTGGTGGTGGGGTTTTGGCGGAGATGTGAGGGCGTCGCCCGGCCAGGGATTGGCAGCGGGACGAGCGAGCGAGGTAAGGGTTGAGAGGAGGGCGCTGCGACGACGGCTGTTGTTGGATCAGCAGCCGTTTGGCAGCGCCGGCGCCTGACGGTCGCTCCGCACGCGCGTGCGCACACCGTCGCCGCCCGCGGCTCCTGCGCAGCTGCTCATCACGTACGAGGGCCGCCACAGCCACGCGCCCCCCAACGGGCTCGGCCGCCGCGACGCGCGCCGCCACGGCGCGATCAGCCCCGCCGCGCGCCTCGCGCTGCGCCGGGAGCAGGCGGCGGCCGCGGCCGCCGCCGCCGCAGCGGCCGGCGAGGACCCGTCCGCATCTGCAGACGCGGCAGAGG